CTATCGCCGAGGACCAGATGAGCATCGGAGTGTACCACGCGCTCGAGACGACCGATGAGGAGATGCAGGGCGCGGCGGAAGGCGACCGCGTTGGACCCGATGTCGAATAACCTAGCCTACAACAAGACGGAGTTGAAGACGCGCCGGGTACCGGCACAATGGAGGTCCCATCGCTTCTCCAACAACGGTTTTTTTACGAGCTCACAATAACATGGGGCATCTGGAACTTCGTGATGTCATGCGGGTTCTTCGGCGCGGACGGGTTCGCAATTCAATTTTACGATCGGTACGGCGTCATGTCTTTTGCGCGGCTTGCGAATCCAACAAACGTCCTTAGGCACGGCGACCCGCAGCGGCTTCGCGTTCGTTTCGGTTTGATTGTGTTGTCGGCTGCGGTACGTTTACAGTCAAGGCGGTGCTTGGTGTGGAGTCCACTTCTGTACATGCCATATGCTGGGACACAATTGCCAGATTGTGGAGCGCGTCGCTAGACCTACTACAACTCGGGCGACCTGGGAGGCAGTTCAGCGGACATGGCATCGTCACTATGGACCACCACACATTCTTGTCGTGGACCAGGGTGCGGAGTTCAAGGCCGAGTGTCAGGACAGAGCTCGCGAGCATGCCACTCTCGTGCACGTCACCAACGCGAGGTCTCCATGGGAAAATGGTAAAACCGAGCGCCGCGGAGGATGGTGGAAGAGCATCTTTCAGAAGTCCGAGCCCATCGAGCCGTGTAACAACACGTCGGAGTTGGATATGCTGGCCGATTTCGTTACCCAGGCGAAGAATAGGTTCACGAACACGAGTGGTTACAGCCCAGCTCAGCGAATGGTTAGCGAAGACTTGCGATAGCCATGGTGTTTGGTCTACGACGACGTTATTAGTCCGGAGATGCTCAGCACCGCGCCGTCAGTTGAGTAACATCGGGCTCAGGCTATGAGGCAAGCCGCAATGCAGTCAGCAGTCAGCCTCAGCGATCAGCACACGTTGCAGAAGGCACTCAAGAGCAGGATGCGGAAGGAGCAGGAGGCACTCAAGGATGGCGAGATAGTTTCCATGGGGAGGCGAGTTTCAGTCCGACAACCTGACGGAAGCATCGACTACAAGGTGGGCGGGAGTGGACCAGCCACGGTCATCTCCAATTTTCAGAATGGTTCTACCGCGGTTGCATACATGCGCGGAGTTCTCTTCAAGTGCGCGAGGACAGGTCAGAGCCGCGACTAACGAGAAGAGCTTGGGAGCCGAGATCGTCAACGAGTTGCTCTTCGGGCTCGAGGAGAAGCTCAGCGCAGTACATCAGCAGCGGGGCTTCAGGGACATCAGCGGTGAAGGCGAGCCACCGCAGGAGGACGAGGTCGTCGACGCGGATCCACCGCAACAAGCGCCACCACCAGATGACGCCGAAGAAGAAGGAGGAGCTTCGCGACAGAGCAGCGCACAACCAGAAAGTGAAACTCGGGTACCAGCGTCGAGCGATGGAGATTCCCGTCGTGGAACCGTCGTCAAGGCAGGAGATGAAGCTACAGAGTCACCGCCAAGGAGCAGGCCGAGGTACGATGGCATGGAGCTGGACTGGCAACGATTTTCATCGTCGAGTTCAGGACGTACCGCTGCAGGTGTGAGAGCACCATGGCCGGCGCCGTCCGGGTCAACCGAACCGAGCGTCTTCTGGCAGCAGCCAGACCGTGACGAACGGTTCATAGAGGTCTGCGATTCACGAAGGGCACCTACACGAATTGCAATGACGCGGAGAAGAGCGACTTCATCGCGATGGACGAGGTGCGGAACTACCGACAGTTTGGATAGCGGGCAGTGGAGACCAGTTACCGGCTTCAACAATGACACGCACGTAGCGTTTAGTATTCAGGATTCGTGTGCTTATCCTAGTTACCGAGGTAACTTCGACATCGTGAAAGCCAAGTCCGAGGCGGCAGAGAGCTCAAGCACAACGCGACTAGCGACGACGACTGGCCGCAGTTCATTGCAACCATTGCAAAGGAGTGGAATGCAGTCGTCCGCGCCAAGGCCGTCACTATCATCACGCCGGCCGAAGCCGAGAATATCAGGAAGGACAAAGGCGAGCGGATCATCACCAGCAAGATACTACTCCGGTGGAAGCCGACCGAGCAGGGTGTGGTAGCCAAGGCAAGATTGGTGGTACATGGTGTCAAGTGCCCCGATGTCATGGAGATCGAGCGGAGTTGTCCAACACCACAATTGATTACGTTTCACATTGCCACGCAGGCGATATCGTCGAGGAGGTTCGAGGCCAATCTCGGCGACGTCATTCATGCAATGGGGGCCCTAGCAAGAGGACCAAGCCACTCTACGCCGAGCCACCACCTGGTGGATCTTTGGAGTCACTTGGAGCACCGCCGGGAGTTCTCATTCGATTGGATCGGGAAGTTTATGGACTTGTCAGTGGCATGGCCGCCTGGCGCAGTACGATGTTCGACCGGCTAAGCAGGCTCGAGTATCACATGAGCATGTGCGATCCGCGTTTGTTCATTTTCTTCAACGACAACCAGCACATCGACAGCGACGACTACATTGTGCAGGGCACTGTGGTTTTAGAGGTTGACGACGCATTGCCTGGAGGCAACGAGAAGCACATTGACAATATTAATCAGCTCAAGGGCGTGATCAATTTTGGTCATTGGCGCAACCTATACCGAGATGGACCACGTTCGTTTTGCAGGGAGGCGCTTTTGTCGAGAAAAGGAAATCGGTTTTCGCATCGACATGGAGCGATATATCAGCGAGAAACTCAATCTGGTCGAGCTCTATCGAGGGCGACTTGCAGACCCAAAGCCTGGGCCATCATATGGAGAGAAAGGTCAACTTCGCGCAGCCATCGGTGGTATTGGATGGGTTGCCAGACAGGCGAGGCCGGACGAGGCTTCAACTGCTTCACTGTTACAGGGTGTACTTTGTAGTGCCGCGATGAGGGATATTTCCGACGCCAACTCCGCAGTTCGACGTCTCAAGGCAGATGCAGATCTTGGTCCACGTATCGTACCAGCCCCGCCGGACGAGGCCAGAATCGCCAGCGTCGGCGACGGCAGTTTCGACACGGATAAGGAGACGGGAGTTTCGCAGGGCGGATTCTTAGTGGGCATTACCGCGAAGGCACTCCATTATAGCGAGGAGGCACCGTTCAGCATCATCAGCTGGGTGAGTCACAAGATCAAGCGCGTCGTGGGCAGCACCACGGCGGCGGAGAGTTGTAGTTTCAGTGATGCGTTGGCCGAGGCCGAATGAGTATGGTCTCTATGGCAGGAGACGATGTGTAATGATTTTGATGGAGAAGGATTACGATTCCAAAACGTGAGGATCCAGCAGTTGCAGTGCTCAAGAGTGACAGCGCGATTTCTTGTGGATCCGAGTATCGGGAGAGTTGTTGACGCCAAATCGTTGTTTGACAACACTGCGAAGGAGACGACAGGAGGCAATGATCGTAGGGTTGCGCTCGAGCTGTGTATCTGCAGGCAGTCCATGCGTGCTCTTTGTTGCAAGGCCAGATGCGTCCAGAACCATTGCATGCCGGCAGATGCTTGTACAAAGAGATCGCCCAGCTCTGCCTTTTTAAGCAGATTGATGCGTACAGGGCGATGCCGTATATTTGATGAAAAGGGCGAATTGCAGAAACGAGTTCCCGAGAAGGCTAAGCGTGGGTTTCTGCGGCGACCGCACAAGCGAGAGCAGCTCAACAGGCTGTCGATAGGATGCGCTGTTACGCCGACGGAGGTTTCGGCATAGACAGCTGCTGCCGCTTCATGCCAGTTTTGTTTCATATGTATTTTAAACATCGCGCAGGGGCGAATATCAATACCAGCCGTGTTTACATTCCTTTTCATTTCGCACGTTGGCGAATTTCATATATGCTTGATTTATATGCTACTTGATTCCGCATGATAGCGGATATGCGCATGTTGTGGCCGAAGACTTTCTTGGGGGCTGTGATTCCTGTGCTCCTGAGGCCTAATGATTGTATGCAGGCCGATGCTGGCCACAGTCATGTCGACTCGCATTGGCGTTTTGTTCCGTAGCCGGCTTGGGTCAGATGATGGCGCCGTGGAAAAGATTCCGCGGTTCGTATTTCCGATCTTATAGATTTCTCACCTCCTTCTCCTCCTCCTCCTCCTCCTCCTCCTCCTTTCTGGGAGTGGGAGGGGTCGAGGGAGGTGGTGGTGGCGTATACCCCTAGCTGGGCCCCATACGATGGCGTGCCACGGTGCCCCCGCTCGGCCGGTGGCAGCAGCGAGGCAGCGCATGAGTTCGCTACGCCCGGCCGGTTTCGAGGCGAGCGCGCCGTGGGAAGTCTTCAGTCCGGCGTGTCCTTCTAGAGGAGGAATATTCAAAATTAATAACACAATTGACCGGGGACCATTTTTCTGCCAGTTGCGATGATTTTTGTTGATGTTTTATTTCTCGTTGAAAATCCGCCTGTAAGGGGACACGCCCGACCTAAAGGGAGTCCCGAGGCTCCAGCCCACTTTCGTGCCCCAGGAGTGCCGAAAGACTGTCGGCTTTGGCGCCCCACAGTCATGGCCTTCAGTGCATAGCAGCTGCTTTTGTATGTATTGTTTCGGCGATCGGCGCGGGCCTATGGCCCACTCCAACTCCCCCCCTCCCCCTCCCCCTCCCCCTCCCCCTCCTCCTCCTCCTCCTCGTCCTCCTCCCCCTCCTCCTCCTCTTCTCCTCCTCCTCCTCCTCCTCCTCCTCCTCCTCCTCCTCCTCCTCCTCCTCCCCCTAGACTGGACCTTGGATTCTTGTGGCGGCTGCTTGTGGCGCCTGGTCGGGACCCCTCCCCCCCAGGCTGCCTGCGCGATTGGCGAACGCAGATCGGCGAAACTCCTGGCCAACCCTTCCCCTCTCCCCCACCTTCGGCCACATGCCGAGATCCAAAACAACAGAACGCTCACGTGCCATTGGGCTGCATCAGTGTCGACACGAGAGTGTGCAGACGTGCGCCGTGCCTTCGTCCACGCCGTCAGGTGGAGATCGCGGCCATCACCGCGGCACCCCTCGAGGGGCCCATGGACGGCCAGCCCAGCGAGAGCCTGGAGGCCGCCATGAACACGGCGGTGGACGACGTGGAGAGGATAGCCAAGAAAGCGAAGGACCAGCCCTTCTCACGGACGGGGGGGCCTGGCACCGAGGCGGATCAGGGCCGCTGCGCCCAGGAGGCAGTCAGGGGCGGGGGGGTCCCATCGGCAAGGAGGTGCAGGAGCAAGCCCCCCGCCTCCCGTGGGCACCCTGGCACGCCCAATCGCCGCTGCTGGAGCGCCCGCTGGAGCGGTCGGGGCCACACGCTGTGAATCCTGTGACCCCCCCAGGCGTTCGGCGGGGCCGGGGAGGGGGGCTCGGCAGTCCCAGGGTTGCCCCCTCGGGGAGTTTGACCCCGGAGAACCTGGGCGATGATAGCCCCCACCTCTACCAGCATGGAGCACATCCCCATCCCTGTGTTTGGCATCGCCTTGCCTGGGTGCCGATCTTGACCCTCCGTTTCCGAGGGCGCACCCCTAAGATTGTCATCGCCTCGGGCTTGCCAGTCGTAGGGATAGGGATAACTTCGGGGCTGGGCACACCTGGGGGCTCGAGGTTCTGCAAGAAGGGCTCCAAGCAAAGGCTCCGCCTCGAGGCATCGAGGAGTTGTGATGTCGCCCTCGGCGGACACGGGCGGAAGGCTGGCGGAACCCGGCAGAAGTAAAGTTGAGTCGGGCGTGTCCTTCTACAGGAAGAAAATTCAAAAACAGTCCAAAGATAGTTCGGGGCGATTTTTCCTAGCATCTCTGGCAACATTTCGCATATTTGTGTTTGTCTATTTTTGATGTTTCGTCCACCATCGCCTGTACGAGGGCACGCTCGACCCAAAAGTGCAGCAAAGGGCGGCCCCGCCGGCGGAACCCGGCGGAGGTGACGTCTGTCGCCGCGCCGTCTGCTCCGACGCGCGGCCTGCAGCCTCGGGGGCGGCGCCGCGGGCACCGGGGCAAACGCCGCCTCGGACGCGGTGGGCTTGCCGCGTGGGTTGCCGCGGTGCCCTCTCGCCTGCAAGAGGCTCCTCGTCCCCCCCCTCCTCCGCCTCCGCCTCCTCCTCCTCCTCCGCCTCCGCCTCCTCCTCCTCCTCCTCCGCCTCCTCCTCCTCCTCCACCTCCTCCTCCTCCCCTTCCTCCTCCTCCCCCTCCTCCTCCTCCCCCTCCTCCTCCTCCATCTCCTCCTCCTCCTCCTCCTGCTCCTCCTCCTCCTCCTGAGGTCGCCTACGGCCCTGGGGGAAACCGTCCACTGGCCGAGGGCGGCCGCGCCGCTGCGAAGGCCAGCGTCTTCGAGCCCGAGAGGGGCGCGGGGCGCAGGGCTTGCCGCGAGTTTGCCCTGGTGTCGGCGTCGTCCACGGGGGCGCGTCGAGAGCATGCGGTTCGGCGACGGAGCCCCCCCCCCCCCCAAAGAGACGGCAGGTGAGCAGATTCAGAGGCTCTGGAGCGGGCGATGTGTCGAAAGAATCGTGCTTCAGACGGGTGTTGCTGCCACCTGTGCAGGTTTGCTTGTTGTCTCATGCCCGCGTCGCCGATGCGAGAGCGCAAGTTTCAGTACGAACGCGCGCTCGACACATAACCAAATAATCCGTTCGGAAGCCCCGAGCGGGAATTTGAGTTTGACCAGGTGTTTCCCCCGATCCTTCCAATTGCTGGATTTCCCAGCGCGAAGATCAGAGTGAGGGTAAATGGGTGCATGCGAGTCCGCATTTTTGTCACCAATCGACACGACTGGCGGCGCAACCGAGACGAACCTCTTGTAAGGAACATGTATTAGGGAGGTTTCGTGCCTGGACGAACGCAGCTGGAGTGATGGGGAACAGGATCGGCATCTGGACCAAAGAGCTGAAGAGGAGGAGGAGGAGAATTATAAGTAGGGGGGGCAGAGGAGGTGGGCAGAGCAGCGAAACCCGTGGAGCAGGAGGAGCCCTTCTCATCTTCGTGGGTCTGGGGCCAGCTAGGGCCCGGGTGCTCCGGGGCTGCGGACCGACCCGTGGATTGGTGACAATGCTCTGGCTTGTGTTAGCGCTCTCCCTCTCTCTCTGTCGCAACCGCCTTGGTTGCAAAAAGCCTTCGTCGCTGATTTCTGGCACCTCGGTCACGAGTGCTTTCGAACGTGAGAAGATGGAAGCTGTGAGGAGCTGGACCGTCAAGAAAGGAAAAGAGGTCGGAAAAGGGGGCCAGTCCCAGGGTGTAAGCTCCAGGGTCAGGGGTCCAGGGCCCGCGCGTTTCAGAAGTTGTCCTTCCTCTGTGGCAGCTTGAGGACGGCGACGATGACGCGTAGGAGGAGGAGGAGGAGTAGGAGTAGGAGGAAGCAGTGGCGAAGCCAGTACTCGATTCGATTAAGCCTCCCCCCAGCTCAGAAGACGGACGAGACGAGGATGCCCCACAGCAATGGACCTTATGAACTACATGAAATGAGGAACTGAGGATGAGAAGGAGGAGGCAGAGGGGGACGCAGGGTCATGCAGCAGGTGCGGGAGGAGGGCCAGGGGCGTGGGGCGTGCAACAGCAGCCACTGCACGCCCAGCCTCCGCCCCGATCGTGACCTGTACCGCCGCGCGGCTCGCGAGCAAGACCCCCTCGCCTGCCCGACCCCAGCGCTTTTTGGTCTCGCGGGTCTCGGGGAGCTTGGCCCGTGCACGCACGGGGTCTTACACGCTGGGATGTGATCTCGCTCAGATTTCATTCGCATGGTGATCCAGACTTCTCGTGACGACACCTCCTCCTCCTGATCATCCTCTTCCTCCTCCCTCCCCTTCATCATCCGCCTTCTGCTCCTCCTCTCCTCCCTCCCCGCCCATCTCCTGCTCTCCCACTGGGGGAAGAGCGTGAAGAAGGATAGGGGAGTGGAGGCGACGGCTAGCTAGATGGTTGCTCCGCTTCGCTGGCACTTCCTGGCTGGCCTTCTCCTGTGCTGTTCACGCACGTGCCCTCCGCACTGCTGCCTCGTGCCTGCGGCCCGAGGGACTGCTCCTGGAGGCGAAGACGTCTCTGAACACCACCCTCATGCGCATGAGACGGCTGGCAGCAGGCAGGGGCTGGGCGGAAGAGGGACGGGTAAGACGGAGAAGCGGGGGCGAAGCGACGGAGGGACGGGAGGTCTTACAGGTTGACTAGAGAGAGAGAGAGAGAGAGAGAGAGAGAGAAAAAAAAAAAAAAAAAAAAAAAGAAGAGAGAGCGACACAAGCAAAAGCAATGGCAGATGGACGAGGAGGCGAGGGATCGCGAAGCTGCCAGGCAAGTCCTGTAACCGTCTGCGGAGAAAAAGGACTGCTCGAAGGCACAGTCAGCGTACAACCTCGGAAACCCACTGTCATGGCCAGCCCCCATTTGAAAAGTCAGAGCCGACGGATTTGTATGCGTCCCTTGGGCTGTGCCCTTGTTCCCCCCTGTGCATATATTATAGGTTCCTTCTCTACTGCGGTCTCGCATCGCTTGCTCTCTTTGTCACCAGGGCCGCTCGTTATCTCCTGTGCTTCGGCCTCGATACCTGTCTTTCTCACTCTCTCTCTCTCTCGCTCACTCGCTGCATACATACAATAATATATTGTATACATGTCTGTTGATGTGTAGATAGTATGTATGTAAACATACACATATATGTGCCTCTCCTCTGAGTGTCTCTCTCTCTCTCTCTCGCTCGTTATGGTGTTGTTGTTGGTGTCGTTGTTGCTGTTGCTGTTGTTGTGGTTGTTGTTGTTGCCGTTGCTGTTGCTGTTGTTGATGGTGCTGTTGTTGGTGTTGTTTTTGTTATTGTTTTGGTGTTGGTGTTGGTGTTGGTGTTGTGGTTGTGGTTGTGGTTGTGGTTGTGGTTGTGGTTGTGGTTGGTGTTGTTGTTGCTGTTGAATGTGAATTATGAAACAATTATTCGTGTTGGACCCCTGAAAAGGCGCCCTGGCGCTCTCGTCGAGGCGCCGGCTACATATTCATTGAACATGAGGTTCACGCTCGAGCGGTTTGGGGGACCGCCAAAACCGGTCCCCCAACAACAACAACAACAACAACAACAACAACAACAATTATTAGCACGTGGGGACACTCCGTTCTCACCAGTGCCAGGGTTTTCATAGGAGGCGGGCAATACCCCCACTTTGTGGGGGGGCCGGTTCAAGCTCTACCAAATTTCCAAACGACTCTTCGCCACCACCCACACCCAGCTTCCCGCCCTATGACGTTCGGACACTTCACTTCGTGGCCTGCGGACGACCTTGGCTACTACACTGGCGCATGGGTACAGTGACTTGTTGTGGTAACATTTTCTGTGGTACTTCAGCCCTGGATATACCGCGCGCATGTGGTCACCAAGTGCCGCGTCGAGCTTTTCAGCCGTGTCATACTGCAAAGGTCCGGAGTCAGGGTGATACTTCACGTACCATTGCCTCAAAACCATACCGCTGACAGCGACGGGAGGATCGCTCTCCGAGAGAAGCTGCGAGAGGACCTCCGCGGCGGCCTCGTCGGCGAAGCTCTCCCGATACTGTTTGAGTCGAAGACGCTGGCCTATACATTCCTCCACAGCTTGGGCAGTATTCAATGCTCCCTTGGCGCCCCACTCCGTGCTGAGCCACTTCTGGCATACCCTGGCGTCAGCAGATACAGATAAATGTCCCAGGAGCCACTGCTTCAAGACGGCCCCGTCAGTAGTCCCCTCGGGCATGTCTGTGCGAATCCGTTCTCCATACCAGGTGTCCAGATGGCCAGCGTTCTGCACTTTGACAAGCGTCTCTTTGGAAGAATACTGCAGTAGCCACGCCGTTGCGACCCTATCTGGCGCATATAGTGGTGGATCCAACTGTCGGAGCGCCCCGCATAATTTGAAAGCTGTATTATACTCGATGCCCAGGTGGCGGATGGCAGAGCCGTGCTGCTCCTCCAGCTCCTTGGCGCTAGAAATACTGACCTTGCCAGGCACAACCCGATACTTGCCCCACCAAGTCTTGCACGCCTGGTGACTGGCCCGGATACCCTTTGCAACGAGCGCCTGATGCAAATGATACGGGCTGCCGCAGTCAGCCAAGGGAGGCCGCGACAGCTCTGGGCCATACTGGTCGTCAAGGGCTTTCGCCGACAAAGCCATGACCCATCCAAGAACACAGGCGATACCTTGATCCGAGATGGCTACGGATGTGACAGTGATCAGTGATTTTGTTCGATGACGTGGTGACGCACGGACTGGTTGTGGTAACGTGCCGACGACGACGACGACGACGACGACGCGACGACGCGCGCGTGTGTCCCGCATGGTATTTTTTGCAAGGGATTGTGGCCCCTGGCAGGCGCGCGAACGCCGTTGAAAGAGCGTGCGAAAGTAGCTCGCGCGAGCTCATGTAACATAAATGTTGAAAAACCATTTGTTTTTAAGGATTCGGACAGCGCGCGCGGGTAGAAATTTGGAAAATCCGTGCACGTGTTTTTCGAGGACCTACGGTGCGATTCGTGCGATTTTATGATACGCGGTGCTGAAATTCTTAAGAAACCCAATGGTGTTTGAAGATTTCGGCGTGCGCGCGCGAAGAAAAAACGAATGTGTCCCATATGGTATTATTTGACAGGGATGATGGCCCTGGCATGCGCGCAACCGTTGTTGCAGAAGTTCGAAGCACTTGAAAAAGTTGCTCGCAAGAGCCCGTTTGACAGAAATGTTGAAAAAGTATTGGGTTTCCTAAGAAATCCGCAAGAGCGCGCGGGATGAATTTTTGAAACTTTTTTTTGAAAAACCATTGGGTTTTTCATGTTTTTATGTTAAAATCGCTACGAAAACTAAGGTTTTGGAAGGATTTCATCTTGCGCGCGCGAGTGTGCACTTCGTGTCATTTTTTGCAAAGGATTCTTGAAGTTTGGTTATGTTAGAACAAGACATGTCATTTTATATTGTTTTTTGACAGGGAAAGCGGGCGTCAACAAAACAACCGGATCCGGACTCCCCCGTTTTGCCTGAGACTTCCTCACGAAAATGATGAAAATGTGGCTGCGGCCTAGGCGCGGCGAGGGGGGCGTGCACCAGGGGGCCCAACAATAATTATTCTTTAGAAGTAATAATATTCAACAACAACAACAACAACAACAACAACAACAACAACAACAACAACTCTCCCGCTCGAGACTTCTTCCTTTTTTGCTCAGGGCTGCTGCTCGTGCTCGCCGCCGAAAGCCGCCGTCCTAACAAAACCAGCGCTCCCGCTCGAGACTTCCTCCCATTTTACTTTGGACTGGCGCGCTAGTTGTTCTCTCATCGGCGCCGCCCCCAGCAAAGACAACGCTCCCGCTCGAGGCTTCCTCCCTTTTTTACCCAAGGCGGTGGTCCTCCTCGCCGCCGAAAACCGCTGCCCCGACAACACCAGCGCTCCCGCCCGAGACTTCCTTCCGTTTTACGCTGGACTGGCGCCCAACTCTCTTTTGAATTGGTGACGCTACCAGCAAGAACAACGCTCCCGCTCGAGGCTCCCTCCCTTTTTCCTGAAGACGGTGCTGTTCCTCGCCGCCGGCAACCCCTATCCCGACAAAACCACAGCTCCCGCTCGATGCTTCCTCCCTTCTTACTCAAGGCGGTGTTCTTCCTCGCCGCCGAAAACCGCCGCCCCGACAAAACCAGCGCTCCCGCCCGAGACTTCCTTCCGTTTTACGCTGGACTGGCGCCCAACTCTCTTTTGAATTGGCGCCGCTCCCAGCAAGAACAACGCTCCCGCTCGAGATGTCCTCTCTGTTTCCTCGGGACGGTGCTGTTCCTCGCCGCCGACAACCCCCGTCCCGACAAAACCACGGCTCCCGCTCGATGCTTCCTCCTTTCTTACTCAAGGCGGCGCTCCTCCTCGCCGCCGAAAGCCGCCGTCCCAACAAAACCAGCGCTCCCGCTCGAGACTTTGTTTTGTTATACGTACGCTGGACTAGTGCCCTACTCTCGTCAGCATTGGCGCCGCTCCCAGCAACAATAGCAGCCCTGCTCGAGACTTACTCCCTTTCTATTCAGGGCCAGGTCCTTGCCTCACCGCCGACAGCCCCCATCCCCACCAAGGCTATCCTGTCGTTCGATACTTCCGTGTGCTTTACCCTTCGTGGGGGTTCCAGTGGCGGTCTCGCATCGGCGCAACAAGGCGCGGGCATGTGTCTTCGAATCGGGATATGTTGAGATTATTCGGAGGAGGTGTTTGCAAGACCTCATTGGGCGGGATATCCGGGAATGGGAATAACGGATCCCGCTATAGAACAAGAGTCCCCATGATGTGGATGGTTATCATGATGGTCGCATGCTTCGTGTGGAAGCATCGCGCATGATGGTAAACTTCTTGTTGTTGTTGTTGATTATATTTATGTATATCTCTCTCTCTGGGAGCCTCGATCACGGGTGCTAGCACCACGGGTGTTTCGCATCTTTGGATAACCAGTTATCGTAAGTCCCCCGCGGGTTTTGAGCTCAAGCATTGGGCTTGGCGGATGTCGCAGATTGGACGGCCCAGTCCTCGCGAAGGGCGTTAGCCGTAGATGCGCCTCGCGCGCGCGTGCCGACTCGTGGGACAGATCCCCCAAACCGTGCGTTCACTTAGTGGGGTCGTACTCGCGTTGCTAAGTAGTTGGATGGGTCGGGCGACGTTTCTCTACGTTCGCGCCCGCGCCCGCCCTGACCTTACGGCGGAACTTATAGCGCAACAGATTGAGAGGATTTCGCGTCGTTCGCGCCAGAGTCCGCCCCTATGGCGCAATTTAAGGCACAGCATACGGCACGACACGCTGGATGGGTCGGGCGAGGTTCCGCCACGTTCGCGCCCGAGCCCACCCCTATGGCCGATGGCGCAATCAACGAGGCAACCCACGGCGCATCTTATGGCCATGCCGCAACCTCTGGCGCAACCTGGGGGTGCAACATGTACAACGTAGGTTGCACCACAGTAGTTGAACCGCTTAGATGACAACGCCGAAATTGCACCGCCTGCAGTGCGCTTCGTATATGGCACATACTGAACGCACTAGCTCACTGTTTGGGGCGCGCGCTGGAAGACATATGCAACCCGCGCCTTTGTACTTATCCCTACGTGTCGCACTCTTCCCCTCCTGCACCTCGCCCTGTTCGTTCATCCCTCCGTATCCCGCCTCTCCACCTCCACCGGATCCTCATTAGTTTGGTTTCGGTGCCCGCCGAGGGGCGACCATGACGCCGCCGCGAGCAGACGAGTGAATTTCCACACCGTTGAGCTGCTTCTCGGCTGACCATTTAGCGCGAGGGCCCATCAAGGAAATTCTTGACGCTTCGCGTATCTCCACCAGCCCATCCAGAAGCGACGCCCAGGCGAGTTGAGGTGATGAGGGAAGTGTAGGAGCAAAGAGAGGGACAGCCGAACCGTTCGACGGAGGAGGAGGACAAGGAGGAGGACGGATGTATGAGGGAGGAGGGAGAAGGATGATGAATATGATGAGGAGAGGAGGATGGAGGAGGTGGCGGAGGGAGAGGAGGGATTGGGTCGGCGGATAAGGAGGAGGAGAAGGAGGAAGAGGAGGAGGAGAAGGAGGGGGGATGATGAGGAGGAGGAGGAGGAGAACAAAAATGACGAACATGAGAGCCTCCTACGATGTCTCTTGGGAATTATTTTGGATGCCTCTTGGAGGGTATGGGGGGCATCTTGGGTGACTCGGGGATCCTCTTGAAGCCTCTTGGGGGCCGCTTGGGGGCTTCTTAGGGGTTCTCTTGGGAGCCTCTTGGAGGCCTCTGGAGACCCTCTGGCAGGCTCTTGGGGCGCTCTTGGGAGCTTTGGGGGCGCTCTTGGGCCCGATGCGTCACGGACTCGGTGCGTGACGACGTTCCGAAACACGTAAAGCAACATGTCGCGGATTCGGTGCTTCTTGGGCCCTTTTTGGGTTTTCCTCTGGCATCTTGGGGCGCTCATTGGGGTTTCATCGGCTTCCAAGAGGCCCCAACAAGGCACGTACTAGCAAGCATCCCGCCGAACTCTTTCCGACGGGGTTCGACCCAGGACTCACTGGAGGGTCTTCGCAGGGTCTTTGCATGTTTTTCGCAGGTCATTGCGATGGTCTTTGCAGGGTCTTTGCATGAGGAACTCTGCAGCGTACTGCAGGGGGTCCATGGGGAGAGAGTCGGGAGATGGGGTTATGAGAAGTTGGAAGGCGAAGCTCTCAGAACCACGTCACACACACACACCCAGGGACTGGTTGGATTTATGCGAGGTGCATTGTTTAGGTGATCGAAAAAACAATGTTCGAACACATGTTTTCGTGTTCGAACAATTTCTCTGGTGTTCGAACAATCGTTTTCGTGTTCGAACACGTTTCCGGTGTTCGAACAGTCGTTTTTGGTGTTCGAACAAGTTTCTGGTGTTCGAACACTCGTTTCCGTTGTTCGAACAATTTTCCGGTGTTCGAACGGTTTTTCCAGTGTTCGAACATTTCTGTACATTTCGTTTTTGCACTAGTGCTAACAACCACGCAATGTTCGAACAACGCTCCTGTTGTTCGAACATTTTTTCGATGTTCGAACAATGTCGCGGGCGTCGTTGCATGATCGCGTGTACCAGTAACGACCGTGCAAGTCGGCTGCGTCGGGACGGCGCCCCCGCACATCATGTCAAAGCCTGGGGAGAGGGGTCTGCTCGCAGGGAGACGGGGACAACTGTGGGCCGAAACGTGTTCGCAGGGATATCCCTGGGGCACACTTTTGGGGGGCCCTCTTGGGAGTTCCGCTGGGGCTGTGCGGGGCTCTCCTGGTGCGTTCTTGGAGCCAGTGGGGGGCTCCAATGAGGCCCAGCGGGGCCCCAAGGGTGCTCACAAGGCGGCCCCCAACGGTATCATGCCAAGGGCTTTTGGTACGTATGATATCCATGGGGGCCTTTTCTGCCCCTCTCGCTCACTCTTTTGGGCCCCTCTTCGAAACTCCGTTGGTGGTGTCTAGGGCCTTACAGTGCCCTCTATGGGGTTGGGGAAGGGACCCCGAGAATGCCCAGGAGGGCCACCAGAGGGCCCACAACCAGCGCCCCCCAACGATGGGGGGCCCTTTGGGGTCTCTCCGGAGCCCTTCGGGGCATCTCTTCGTCTGGGGACGTCCTGGGCCATCTTTGGGGCCGAGCGACGGCCCCCAGCTGGGCCAACGACATCGTACCAGGGGCTGTTGGTAATTATGATGAAGAATGTCTTAGGCCCTTCTCGGGCCCCTCTTGGATGCCCTTTCACCCCCATATTGGAGGTCTGTTGTCGCTGTGTGGGGCCCTTCTGTGCCGTCTTTGGGGCCAGAGGAGGGCTTAGCCGGGGGGTCCCCAATTCGCGCTCTCCCTCGGGAGCCCCCAAAATCGATTCTGGGACCCCTCTTGGGGCGCTCTTGGAGCGTTCTTGGGCGCTCTTGGGGCCGTCTTTGGGCTCTCTTGGGCCTCTCTTGGGGCCCTCTTGGGCCATCTTGGAGCCATCTTGAGGCCTCGCGAGGCTATCGGAAGCGAAAATGCGAGAAAGCAAAAATGCAGCTTTTTGGAGGTCTTGGAAGCCTCTTGGAGCCATCTTGGAACGTTCTTGGGGCCTTTTGGAGCATCTTGGGAACCATCTTGAAGCATTTCAGGCTATCTTGAGCCATCTTGGAGATCGTCTTGGGTTCCCTGAGGCGCTCTTGGAGCCGTCTTGGGCGAACAAGTACCCTCTGACACCTCGCGCCCCCCGCCCCCCCGTCCAGGTCCAGGGGAGGGGGTAGGGGGAGGGGTAAACCCCTCCCGGAAGGGAAGAAGGGGTTCGGAAGAGGAACCTCTCTAGACGACATACGCCCTCAAGGGCTGGTGGGACGCATCAGCCAGATGGCGTTCATCTCCAAAACGCGTTGCATCACAGCGTGCCCAGTCTCATACACAAGGTACACGTATCGTTTTTGCATTTTGTGTGGCTCGTTAAGGAGCGGCAGCAATATGTGGCACCAGCCACTGCCCAGACTCATGCCGCGTGCCACGGCGCCTCATGTTTGCGCGCCTCAGATCCCCTGACCATACCAAAATCACCACTAAACCCAACACGCGCGTGCGCGCAGAGAGTGCGCATCGACTACACGCACACAGCAAGAAACGTTGAAAAGGAAACAGGCAAGCCGATGAGCGAACACTTTCTCGAATGCGCATCCGACGGCGCTGACGACGACGCCACGGGCCCGACATTTCGCATGCGCATTAGCGCCTGGACCACGCCAGCACATGCGACGTCAATGCCTTTGCGCGCAAGAAGCGCGCCTCAATACAGGCACGCACGCGCGCACAGTTTGCCTAATGCGCCCGCGCAGCTTACTCACCACTGCCGCATGCAAGCAATGCGCGCACCAGGGCAAGTACATCGCAACTCTGTCGCAATAGTGAGCACGCATTGGTTTTGGCATCGTTGCCTTACCCGTGCGCCCCATGTTCGCGCTTGAGGCTCTGCCTTGCTAGATAGAGTGAACGTAGGTTGTTAACCGACGCTCACGCAGCCAGACAGGATAATCGCCGGTCCTATGTTTCGAAAAAACAGTGCTGGAAACACCCGCCATCGGTATCGGCAGTCTCTTTCGCTCTCATACATCGGCAACTCTTCCTGGGGTCTCTTCAGCAATCCCCCTCGGGGACTGGTCACGGGCCTCCTCCTCTCTGCCTCGTGCTCTTCATGTTCGCTTCCTTCGCGTGCAATACAGAGGGCACGAGCGACGAAGACAGGCTGAGCCAGCTTGCCGGAGCAGAGGGTCATCTGCTGAAGTCGCCCGCCTTCACGACCGCCTTGTTATCGTCTTCGGCGATTCGGTCGTCTTCGTGGCAGCCCCCTCCACGAACCTGACAGATCGTCTCCTGCTTTCGCTGCATGCCCTCGGTTCTCTCCACGACGCCTCGCAGTAGCCTCCCTCGTCCTCTTGTCCCGTGCGCGGGCAGCGGCTTCTGAAGGTCCCAAACGGGCCATAGATGCACCCAAGCCGCGATCTTCGGATCTCGAGGATCGATTATCGATCATCTGTCATCGACAACGACCCCCTGGGTCGTCCTGGCCGTCCTCCAGTCCTACTTTCCACACCCTATCCTTCCACCCTGGCCAGGCAGGAAGACGGTCGAGCTGGCCAGCATGGAGGCGATGCAGAAGGAGCTCCCCGGCCTCAACGAGAAGGTCACGCAGTACCTGAAGGTGCGAGAGAATTGGGAGGACTCTCGGGGTCTTCCTGTGGTCTCAAGAGTAAGCATTTGGGTTTCCGCGGGCGGCTCCCCTGGCGCTGCACCCCATCACCCCGAGGCAGCGCCTCCGGCGTGGACCCCTGTGCCTGCGACCGAAGCGGTGCGGGGAGGGGTCCGTTGTCGGACGGGAGACCGCCCGCAGACGCCCGAGAGTGTATGTGTGTTGGCGCGCAAGGCGTTGCGCCAGCATGCGGGTGCGGAGAGGGGTCTGGCGCAGGAGGAGAAACCGCCCACAGGCGCCCGAGAGAGTGCGTTGATGTGTTATGTCTTGCTGCCCTGGCTTCACGTGGCGACGCCTGTCCGCGCGTCTTTCCAGCGCTCGGCCCTCGAGTGGCAGGGACGTCGGGCCACCGCTCGCGTGTTCAGCGTCCTCCTTCGACTGGCCTGCACAGCCTGGAGGAAGGGGAGTCACCACCACCACCACTTCCTGGATGAGGGGGCTCGTGGCCGGGTCAAGGGCTGGTCGTGGTTTATACCATTTGCGGGGACTGCCGCTAGGCAACCTCCACACCTGCATGCCACGAGCCAGCTAAAGCTGCCCCCCCACCATTGTGGTAGTGGTAGTGGTGAGGGTCCAGGTGTCCTCCCTCCTTCCTTTCTCCTCCTCTTTCGGAAGGCGTTGCTATCCGCCTTGGCTGCACGGGCAAGACGCATCCTCCAGGGTAGGGCCGAGTGGGGGGGCGACTCATGTGGCCAGGCCTTCGAGAGCGATTTGTCTGAGCTAAGATCTGCCGCCTTTGGCCCGAGTCGGGTGCAGGGCACCATGCACAGAAGATCATGACGGAGCAGAAGGGCCGAGTCACTGTGTATAGCCTCTCCGGTGGCTCTGTATCGGATCCTCTGTGCCATCAGAGACACTTGGGACCATGGAGTAAGTGAGACATGCGAGCATGTATCGAAACCGTTGAACGAAGAGTCCCGCCTGGCTTCAGCTTGGGGAGCATTAGCCCCGACGGGCCCCTCTCGGCCTCGCGTTTGTAGCATGCATACACGTCCCTCCGATGGGCCGGTAGTACCGCACTGCTCGTGCGTTCTCGGGTCGCTGGCTGCGTTGACCAATGTAAGCACAGCGGGGTCTGTTCCGATGCGCTCACAGCGACGACCTTGGCATCCTGGGTAAGGGGCGGTCGTAGCCAGCGGTAGGCACACGCACGCCCCCGCCAAGAGCATCTGGCGGTCCTCCCAGCAAGCTGCCCCCCGAAAATGTTTGAGCTCGTGCGGCAGCCCCGCCCCGACGAAGCCGCCTCGGGAAGGGCTTTGGCTTTCTCGGCGCCATTTGCCAACTCGTTTGGGGTGTGCGGTTGTGAGACGACTTGGCCAAGGTGAATCTGGCGACTGATGGGTTCAGGGGCACCTCGCGAGACGTCGACATTGGTTCGAATAGTCGCCCTGAGCATTCTTCGTGGGCGGGCGATGCAGTCCCTCTGGCACCGAGCGGCGAACGCACGATGCCTTCTCGACGGGCGATGCATTTTCGCAGCGAGTGATATGTGTTGCTCCGTGCACGACCTGCTCCTCAACGAACGGAACCACTCGAAATAGACAGTAGCGTGATGCGCGTTGCAAGCGAGAAGAGCGCCGCCAGGAGCGGAAGAGCGCCAGCAAGGTCGTGGACGAGATCATGGACAAGCTGGTGAGCTCCGAGATCCTCGTGGAGAGGGCGGGCACACGCTTCACCCGCCTGCCTCGCCGCGTCAGCCGCGCGCCCGCCTGCTCTCCACTCCTGGCCCCGGCTTGAAAGCGGTGCCCCGCCCCCCCCCTCAAAAAAAACAATACACCAGAGGAACAGCCCAATCAGTAGATGGTTTGAAATGGGATCGCTACAGAGATCGGTAAGGAGGTCGACCGGGAACCAGGGAACCCGGGAACCCAGAACCCACCGAAATCGGCCCAGAACCAAAATCCAGGAACCCGGGAACCCGGAACCAGGAGCCCGGGAACCCAGCCGGCCAAAATTCGCGGGCCATTTTCGCTAAATCTTTCAATTTCCGCTAGGGCCCCTTCAGTGCAATCACTGATTGGGCAAACCCCCCCCCCCCCCTGCGGCTGACCCTCCTCAGCCACGCCCCCCTTCGATTCCCATCTGCCGCTTACTGCCGCTGCTCCTGCTTGCCGCCGCACCTCCTCTTCTGCCCCACCCCCCTCTCTCCACCTGCTCTTTCTCCGGATGTTCCTTCTTATCCTACTCTCCTTTTCCTCCACCCTCTTCGTTGAACGTCTGCCTTTCGTGCGCGCTGCGACAAAGGCCCACACCATGGCATGCAGCTGTGAGCTGCAGCTGGTTGCGCCATGGCTGCCTCACTCACGATTTTGTTAGTCGCCAGCCGCACTTGCCCCAGAACAGAAGCGGCGCGCCTCCTCCCCCGACGGCGACGAGGCACAGGACCAACCTTACATGTGTATTGTGCTGCGTACTCGGCCCCCATCACGTTTCTCAGCAGAGTGCTTACGGCGGGGGCGTTGGTTAAGGAATGCGCCCAGGAGGCTGCAGACCCTGCAGGATTCCTTCTCTGATGATGGCGGCGGTGATGTCCGTGGCCAAGCCTCAATTGGAGTTCCACCGGCCTCCAGACCCTGGGTTCCTTATCTAAGGATCCCTTATCCAATGCCCCCACCGCGGCGGCCTTGCGTGCGTATCGCAGTTTTGCACGTGTGATTTTCTTGACACGAGCATTTTGCCCTCGAAGAGAGAACAATGCCCCCACCGTAGGGGCAGCCCGTCGCGTTCTGGGTGTCTGGTTCCTCTGGGCCTCGTGCTCGCTCACAGCAGGTGCGTTTGATGCCCTTGGCATCGCAGCGACTGTCGCCGTGGAAGGCAAAGGGCCGGTGGACACCTGGTGCCGACTTCTATGCTCGTGTCCCTCATCGCCCTCGCCCCCCTTCCTCGCCACGATCGTCGTCGTCGTCGTCGTCATCATCATCATCATCAGCAGCATCAGCATCACCTTCATCAGCATCGTTACCGCATTCCTAATATTCCTCCTCTCGTCTGTCCTGTCCTTCTCCCTGCCCTTTGGCACATTCTTCTCGTCGTCGTCCTCCCCCTTCAGGGCGACGGTGACGAGGCAGAAGAGGTTCACTAACCACTGAAAAGGTGGGGTGGAAGGGAGGGTCAGGAAGGACGAAGGAGAGCGCAAGGAGACCGAGAGGAGGGATATCATGACATATATTTGTGTATATATATATATATAGAGAGAGAGAGAGAGACAGACAGACAGACAGACAGACAGACATATAGAGATAGAGGGAGCCATATATAGATACACACATGTATATACATACATGCACGTATGTGTACATATATATATATATGATTTACAGAGAGAGAGAGAGAGACAAAGAGAGACAGAGAGAGAGAGAGAGCGAGAGACTGAGGGAGGGATAGGGAGCGAGCGAAACACGATATCGAGGTAATGTAGTCAACACGAGTTAGGGGTTCTTTGAATAATGTTGTTTGTATATGGTGGAGCTATGGGGTGGATGATGATCAGGAGGGAAGACGGATCCCAGCTGCTCATAAGGACCATTATCCCCATCGCAGCCCATCAAGAGCAGTTGTTCAGGATGCTTGGCTGATTTTCCATGGTCGATCGATACTCGAGATTGTAGTTTGATCGACGTGTGAGGTCGCTCCACCGGCATTCGAGCTCATTCGAGGTTTGATTGTGTTCGCGGCCCGAGAATCGTGATGAGCCCGCAGGTGGTCCAGGGGTTCAAGACGCTCAGTGCTGTTCGGACGGAGTTTTCGACGTCTGGTCGTCGTTCGAGGCCAGGTGTGCGTTCGCTTCCAGACCTCTGACGTTGCATTTTTTCACGACATGGGCCTCAGAGCTGTCGGCCCAATCCCCAGCCGCCCAAACCTGTCCTGGAGCGCGTTCCGATCAGGATGTCCAGACAAACCCAGCCGTGGCGACGAGGGACCTTCTGCAATGGGGAGAGCCCCCCCCAAATGACAGACATGCCAGTGCCGCTCCACGCCCTTCTCCGTCTCCTGTGTTCGCTGCCCGATGCTCGCTCACCGGCTATCTCGATGGAGAGTGTTCTCAGGAGCCCGGCGAGAGCCCAGGTCGTCGAGTCCCAGCCCCCCCCCGCCAACCATGTCGTTGCCGCAGGTCTTGCGGGTGGTCCTTACGCACGCGCCCCGCGGCGGGTGTTGTTCGGACGGATCGCACGGCGTGGAATCATGCTCTGGCCCAGCGCTCCCCCTCCTGCTCCCCTTCCAGATAGCCCAGGCTATCGCGCATACGGTCAGCACGCAAAGTAAGGATTGGCAACTTTCTCAAGGGTACCATTGCATCCTTCCCTCCTCGGTCCATCCTTGGCCACTCTCGCTGGCCGCGCCCCGCCCGGAAAACTTCGAAATGACCTTTCGAGGACCTTGCATCTTTCTCGTGCATCCCGAGAGATGGGTCGATTGTAATGTTTAGTCGGACATGTCCCTCTACAAGAGGAATGTTCAAACATAGTCCAGAAATAGTCCGGAGAGGATTCTTCGATTTTTTCATGTATTCTTGAGCATTATTTGAGCATGGTTTATTCTTCGTCCAAAAACCGCCTGTAGGGAGCGGTGCCCGACCTGACTGCAATGGCAGATCAGTTGCTCGCTGCGTGGCCAACCTCTGTCAAGGGAGAAAAAAACACCCGGACCAGACAATTGGCGTTTACTAACGGCCCTTGGCGTTTACTAAACAGCGTTGCCCTGTTCGATTCCCTCTTGAGGTGCGTTTACTAAACGGCTCTGCGTGTCGGGGTGGTTAGTATCGGAGTCCTATAGACCTCCTACCTTGACACGTCGATTAGTGACTTGGCCGTTTTTCGGCGCGCGACGGCCGTTTTTGTTTGCGGGTCCAGGTCCGTCGGTTTCGGTCTTGGGCCGTTTTCACAGAAGGGTGGTTTACCAAAGGGAGGTTCGTCCACCGCCGTTTCTATCCAGGTGGATTACGCAGCGTTCGTTTATCATTATTCGAAAGCTCCTTGATTTTTTTGGGGGCTAAGATCCTCTCATTTCTGATTTTTTACCTAACAGCGTTTGCTGATAGGTTTCTAGTAGGGTCAAAAGAGAGCATCATGACTCCTCAGGGGGGTCTGGGCGGGTGCCGGGGAGGAGAACCGGGAATCGTTTTTCGCCAACAGTCACACACTTCGTGCTCTTCGACCTCCCAGAACTCCATTCCCGGGCCACATTCTGGAGAACCGGGAACAGAGCCGGGCTCGCTTTTCGCCAACAGTCATACACTTCGTGCTCTTCGACCTCCCAGAACTCAATTCCCGGGCCACTTTCTGGAGAACCAGGAACAGAGCCGGGCTCGTTTTTCGTTAACAGTCACACACTTCGTGCTCTTCGACCTCCCAGAACTCCATTCCCGGGCCACATTTTGAGTGGCCGGAGCCAACTGTAGGCCACTTCGTGCTGTTCGAATCGCCAGAACTCCACTCCAGGGCCACATTTTCAATGCCCGGAGCCAACTGTAGGCCACTTCGTGCTCTTCGATTTCCCAGAACTCCATTCCCGGGCCACATTTTGGATGCCCGGAGCCAACTGTAGGCCACTTCGTGCTCTTCAAGTTCCCAGAACTCAATTCCTGGGCATGATTTTGAATGCCCGGAGCCAACTGTAGGCCACTTCGTGTTCTTCTAGTTCCCAGAACTCCATTCCTGGGCCACATTTTGAATGCTGAGGCAGGCTGATGCTGCGGCCGAGGCAGGCTGAGGCTGAGGCAGGCTGAGGCTGAGGCCGAGGCTGAAGGCAGACTGAGGCTGAGGCTGAAGCAGACTGAGGCTGAGGCTGAGGCAGGCTGAGGCTGAGGCTGAGGCAGGCTGAGGCTGAGGCTGAGGCTGAGGCTGATGCAGGCTGAGGCTGAGGCAGGCTGAGGCTGAGGCCGAGGCTGAAGGCAGACTGAGGCTGAGGCTGAAGCAGGCTGAGGCTGAGGCTGAGGCAGGCTGAGGCTGAGGCAGGCTGAGGCTGAGGCTGAGGCAGGCTGAGGCTGAGGCTGTGACTGCGACTGCCGTTGCCACTGCGACTGTCATCGCGAATACGACTACGACTGCGAGAACAGCAGAATTCTACAACTGGATTTTCATCTGAATCGTAAGGGGAATGCTTTCAAATATGCTTCTACATATCGCTGTTAGGTTGCTTTGCCGGGATAATTCTATCCTGGGCCTCTTCCTGGCCACTAGGAGGCCAGGAGCAATCAGAAACGAGCACAAGTAGAAACGAGCACGATCAGAACTGAACGACGTGCATCTGCCCTCCCCTAGGCGTCTCGGCCGGCGCTCCCGCGGGGCTTGCGGCGGCCAGCCTGCGGCCGCCGGCTCCTCGCCTTGCGCGGCGGCGGCCCCACGGAGCCTCGCGGAGCCGAGGTCCCGAGGTCGCGGTGCCCCCCCCCCCCCCGCGGGCGCCAGCAGCCCCTTCCTTGGAGAGGAGGAGGAGCAGGAGGAGGAGGAGGAGGAGAGGAGGAGGAGGAGGAGGAGGAGCAGGGGAGGAGGGGGAGGAGGAGGAGGAGGAGGAGGACGAGGAGGAGGAGGAGGAGGAGGAGGAGGAGGAGGAGGGAGGAGGAGGAAGGAGGAGGAGGAGGAGGAGGAGGGGAGGAGGAGGAGAGGAGGAGGAGGGAGGAGGAGGAGGAGGACGAGGAGGAGGAGGAGGAGGAGGAGGAGGGAAGAGGAGGAGGAGGAGGAGGAGGAGGAGGGGGGGAGGAGGGAGGGGGAGGAGGAGGAGGAGGGAGGGGAGGAGGAGAAGGAGGAGGAGGAGGGTCGGAGGAGGAGAGGAGGAGAGAGGAGGAGGAGGAGGAGGAGGAACCGAGCTCCCCAGCGGTGCCGGCTTCTAACCTTGAGCCCTCTTAGCTCTCAGGGAGCTATCCGGGAATTTCCAGGCGTGCAGGGAGCTCTGCGAGTTCTCCCGTGGTAGCCCAGTTGACGGTTCCACGCGAGCACCCAGTTCCCATATAGCTCCTGGAGTGTTAAGAGGGTTTCAACTCAGTCAGCGCATATCCCCGTGCGGCGTGTTCGATTCTATGCTCGCCCCGCAGGCGGTGTCGATGTGCTCCACCATCGCGGAAACCGCGGGGGCCGCCGCCGCCGCCGCCGGCGAGGCCGCGGAGGGCGGCGGCGGCGTGGGCGCGGAGGGTAAGCCCGCAGGCGGGGCCCGCCTGTGCGCGCCGCCAGCGTCGTCGCTGTCGTTGCAACCGCCGCCGTCAGCGTCGTCTCGGGACGCCAGGGAAGCTCTCGGACTTTGTCGGTCGTTGTCGGGGGGTTATTGCGGGCTTGCGGGTGGCTTGCGGGTGGCTCTCGGAGGCTCTCAGAGGGGTTCGAGCGTTTTCGGAGGGTGCTTCGTGGCTTTTCCGAGGGTTCTCGGCTGTGCTCGGACGTCCTGCAGATGTTCTCGGTTGTCTGCAAAGGCTTTCTCATGTTAGCTTCTTCGGCTGTCTTCGACGTTTTCGGATGTCTTCGAGGTTCCTGGAGGGGTTGGTATGCCGCTGACGTCGTTCGGAACTGGAGGGGTAGAACGGGGTAGCGCAATGCAGCGTTCCACAGTGCCGCCTTTTCGGGAATGGCGCGACG